GCTGACTATAATGCAGGCAGTGACAGATGGCCCCAAAATAGTCATAGACCACCATGATGAGGCAAGTCATCCAACTCTGAAATTAGCACAACAGAATACATTGGGGTGATACAGCCTTCTTAAGTCTTGGCCTTGCTCTGTGTCCATATTTTCACCAGCATCTTTAGGCCAGTGGAGGAGGTAAAACATACATCTACAAAGAAGAGGATAGGGAGGAGGAAGTCCATGGTGTGTGCTCACGGGAGTCTGTAGGTAGTCATTGATTTTTACCAGAGACTAAGACGACACTGTGGACCCTGGGTGCAAGAAGAAATAGAATGATAAATATGAGAGAAAAACACAATGAAAAATTATAAACGAAGTTTGTATGTTAAACTGCACATTAGAAACAATACAAAAATGAAAAGTTATTTGCTGATGATAATGTATACGGTAATGTTTTTGTCTTGACTGATGTGTACCATATTCACACTGGAAAAAGCAATGTTTTACACTGTAAAGATATATAGTGGTTAAATGTAAATTAAAAAGTAAATGGGAGAAAAATAATATAAGAGCAAAACAAAAAAAAAACAAAGAATAAAAAATTAAGGTTGTGATATAACAATGAATGATGGACACAAAACTAGAAAATTCCTAATTCAGATGTCTTGTATTATACAATCATATAACTGACCATGGTTGCCAAGTGTTCTTATTTTGTCCCTGTAATGGAAGTACAACACAGGATTATATTTTTAAGAGAAGGAAACCAAAATTACTTCATAAATGTCAATTGAGAAGAATTTTTTTCTGAGAAATACATGTTATCCTGGGAAATGAAAGTGATTTCCAAGTTTTTCTGATCTATGATTAGGATAATCTTACAAAAATAGAAAAATGAACAAAGGGAACAACTTGTTATTAGACAGAGCATACAACTTAATAAAGTAATATTCTTAAAATATATAGAAGAGATAAAATCAAAGTCATGGAAGTTACTGGAAATGATTAGAAAGAATACATTTATTTCCATAATATAGTCAGAATCTCATCTTTTTTAGGTCTGATATGGCGAGTCCTGCTAACAAGCACACTTCTTTGGTTCAGGACGATTGATCATTTAATAGTTTCTTTCCCAGTGAGTCTTCTCAGAGCTCTCTTTATGTCTTTATTCCTGAGACTGTAGATGAAGGGGTTCAGCATGGGGGTTACTACAGTGTACATCACCGAGGCTGCTATACTTGGATGAGAATTTTTATCATCAGCAGTACTAAAGTACACGCCTAGACTTGTACAATAAAACAAGGAGACAACTGAGAGGTGAGAGGCACAGGTGGAAAATGCTTTGTACTTCCCCTGGGCTGATGAGATTGCATGAATCGAAGAAACTATCTTATAGTAAGAGTACAGAATTCCAGTGAGGGGACCACCACCCAACAGCACAGATGCAAGATACATGACCATGTCATTTAAAAATGTGTTAGAACAGGCAAGGTGGACCACCTCATTAAGTTCACAGAAAAAGTGGGCAATTTCCACATGTGTACAGAAGGACAGCTGCAATGTCATTAAGCTATGTAATAATGAAGTCAGGACACACATGACCCAGGAGAACAAAACTAGCAACATACAGAGCCAGGGGTTCATGATGATTGTATAGCGAAGGGGGTGACAGATGGCCACAAACCGGTCATAGGCCATCACAGACAGGAGAAAGCTGTCCAATACTGCAAAAAGTACAAAAAAGTACATCTGGCTGATGCAACCTGCATAAGTGATGACCTTGCTCTGCGTTTGGATGTTTGCCAACATCTTTGGAATGGTGGTGGACGTGAAACAGATGTCTACAAAGGACAGGTTGGAGAGGAAGAAGTACATGGGTGTATGCAGGTGGGAGTCTGAGATAGTGGCCAGGATGATGAACAGGTTTCCAAATACAGTGATCAGGTACATAGAGAGGAAAAGTCCAAATATGAGGGGTTGCAATTCTGGTTCCTTTGAAAATCCCAGAAGAAGAAATTCCAAAATTTTTGTATTATTCTCTGGTTCCATGTGGTAGAGGTGACTACCAGGAAAGAGAAAAATAAAGTGACTAATTTTCACTCAAAAGGCTATTACTCTCAGATTTATACTAAAATGCAACAATTTATATTTTACATTGAATACGTTAGCATACATATATCGTTTGTGGTGTTTCTTCCTTTCCTATATCCCTCCCTTCTGGCTATCTCAAATTAGGAATTCCTGTTCCATTTTTAAACTTTCCCCAAGAAAATTCCACAATTTTATGGAGATAGTCTTTCATCCATCTGAGTAATATAATTTGAAAGCTTCCCATGGTCCATGAATGTCTGGGAAATTAGTGTAAATTTTTGAGAAACTAAAAAGGTTACAGTCCATTGATGACGAGGAAATGTGAGCTGATAATCATAAAATATGAAAACATGTTTCACTAGATATTAGCCCCATTCACAATGGCTAAGATTAAATAACTAAAGAATGTTAAGTCCTGGTGAGGCTGGGATGAAACGGGAACTGTCCTACACTGTTGGTGGTAATATAAATTAGTACAGCCACTGTGGGAACACAGTGGTCTTTGGATGTTTTCCGAAGATATACAAACAGAACTATCATATGATCCATTAATTCCATTCCTGGGTATCTATCCAAAGGATAAAAATACACTGGGTCAGAAAAATACTTGCACATCCACATTAACTGTGGCATTGTTCGCAATTACTAAGACATAGAACTAACCCAAATGTCCAAGAGAAGATGAATGGTTTGAAAAAGTGTGGCCCATATACACTACAGAATACTACTCAGCAATAAAAATAATGAGATTCTGGCATTTGATAGAAAGTGGGCAAATATAGATTTAAAGTTAAGCAAAACGAGTCAGTCTATGAGACAAGCATTGTATGTCCTTGCTTAATATATACTGAATATTTGCATTCTGTGGCAGAAATAGAAAGACTGGAAAATACAAAAGCATGGAGAGAAACTGTTGATACTAGAGAGAGTGTGAGAAGAAAGTGGGTAGTGGAGGAGAATGAAAAGAAGGAAATCGAGGGGAGAAAAAGAAGCAAACTTTAAAGGACACAGAAAAGGAAAATTATGTGTCGACAATAATAAATATGATAATATATTTGACTGGGCTAATATACAGCATATTCATGCCGAGAAAAAATTAATCCTGTATGATGTAATGATATACAGCGATTTAATATAATAAAAATAAGAGAAAAAGAGAAAAAATAAAACACTACCATAAATTACAAAAATAAGAAAGAAATGACAATTTATTATGTCTTCTGGGGTGTTAAGTTTTATTCTTTGGTTAATTTTACTATTTTCAATGTGATTGTGCATGCAAATTCTAATAACCATTAACTTTCTCATATTTAATGTCTGAAATCCTCATAAAAATCAACCTAAACAGTTATGTTTTTAAGCAATTTGCAAAACTTTAATTGGCCTTTCTGTGAAAAGGGTATGTATATTTTGAAAGTAAAACCTCTCAAAGCCAAATATTTTCTGCATACTGTAAAAAAAAGAGAACCCTATCATATATCAGATAGTAACAAGTGATTTGAAGAACATAAAATTATGTTGATATGAGAAAGTGTACATGAGTGCTTTTCCTTGGCAATGGACAGCACAAGTGTCAGACAAGATGACCCTTGAACAGTCCCAGGGCAAGATAGTGTGAAAATTGCAAGGAAATCTGGGAAAGCAAATGACTTGCAGAAGGAATGAGAAAGATGGAGAAAGATCAAATATCAGGGGATGATGAGGAAGGAGGGAACCTGCTGATGCAGAAACTTTGAAGACATTGAGGGTTCCTCATTCACATGCCATCCTACACTCTATGTATGTAGCCTTGTGATAACGTGAACACACAAAAAGATTTTATTTGCAAGGTTTCCCATAGAGACACTAACTAGGAGTTGCATTGCGAAGTGTACATTCTGTGCTCTTTATTTAAAGAAATGTGAAAGAATCTCCTGACCTAAGCAGAGAGATGAATGAAATTAATTGAGAGGGAAACAGATCTGATAGACTCAGGTGGTCCACAGAGTTTGGAATAAAGAGAACTGGATCAGCTCTAATAGGTGCTAACACTGACTAAATGCTCTTGAAGCCCCATGCAAATAATAATAATAACAATAAGCCAACTTGGAAAGGTGATTTGTACACACACACACACACACACACACACACACACACACAAATAGTAAGACTAGTAAAGGCCAAAATCAATTCAGCCTCATCATTAACAAAATCATTATAATGTAAATATCTTTAGTTTTCCCTCTGATGTGTCAAATCAAACTAATTCTGTGTTTTCCTTTGAATACCCAGTATGAGAGAAGATACTTTGAAATGTCTTTCTTGAACTGCTGTGGCTGGTTGTATTTGGAAACAGTTCTTTGGTCTGATCTTTGTAATGAATTCAGAAACATGCTCAAATACATCTCATTTTATGAAAAATAAAATGCCCATAGTTGAATGAACATCATTCCACACCAAATATACAATACTCCTATATCCTTACTGCAAATCTCTATGGGCATGTTCTAATTTTAGTGAAATCAGCTTACTTCTTCCAGTCCTTTTTCAGTCTCATTCATTTAAAGTTACATTCTTTTCATTTAATTGGCAACAATGATCCATTCATTACAGAGACAAAAATACACTTTTTTTTTCTTTAGGACACTTGTGCTTGGCAGAGAGACAGAGAATGTGAGAAATCAGCCATCAGAGGGTCAGACACACCACAACCCCATCTTCTCTGCTTTCCTCTTGAGATTTTTGGCATTTACTCACACACACTTGGTGTAGTTTTCAAGCTGAAGGGTCTGAGAATCAAACTGCTCAGTCAGCCACTCCAGCACCTTAAACTCTGTATCACCTGCTAGCTCCAATACTTCACTGTTTAACATATAAAATTAATGTTTTACAAATTAACTCATAAGTTAAGGGGGAGAAAAGACATAGCAATCTCTTGGCTCTGGGCAAGGCTAGTTGGTCTCTGAAGTGACTTCAGGTAAACATGCTCAACTTCCATTCTCTCAGAACATTTTCTGCTGTATATACTGGGTTGTAGAACTCACCTATATGGGATCTGTAACAATAAGGTCTTCATGTGAGTGTCTTCCATTCTCGGAACCTTTTCTGCTATACTTACTGAGCTGTAAGACTCACCTGGAGGGGATCAGCAGTTGGTGTAATGGCTATGTCACTGGACTCCCATGTAGTTGACTGTGGTTTGAGTTCCAGACCCGGTGGCTTAAACTCATGCCAGGAGCGTGTGAGTGTGTGCCCAAGATCCCAAGAGGAAAATGGAGAAGAAAGGGTTGTGCCATGGCCATGCTCCCGGGGGATGATTTCTCACTTTCTCTCTGTCTCTCTTTGTCTTTCTAGTGAGCACAAGCACCCTATAGCAAAAACCTCTCCCCCCAACCTCCAAAAAAAAAAAAAAAGACTCACCTGAATAGAGTCTATGACAAGAAGATCTTCATGTGAGGGTCTGAACTCCTTCCTGAATGATTGATAATGGGTAGTGAAGCTCTGTCCCCAAGCAAGACAGCAGCAAGCTGGCAAGCATCAATACCCTTGCCAGACTTAGGACGTTAAATAAGAAAATATTACTCTCTTCCCATCCAACCCAAGGCTGCACACGCTGATGGGCAATAACAAAAGAGATACTTACATCTCTCTTTATCTGCTCATTTGACACATTTCCCCCTTGTTACTATAATCCCTGAGCACCCAATTTTCCTGAGGGATACAGTTTGAGCTGAAAGGAAAATTTTCCAGCTGATTCTCTGTTCCTGAGAGACCAAGTTAGACATCAAGTGAATGCAGTATTTATTATTTATTCTTTGGGGACTCTGTTGTTAACACAGCTTTTATCATATTATCAGTTTGCAAAGTTAAAATGTCCTCAAAATCTGAGGTAGGTAGTTATTTCTCTTCATTAGTTCTCTTTGAAGACCATTTGTGAAACATTGGTAATTATAAGAGATATGCTTAGAACATTTATGTCCCATTGGCCAAAGTTAGAATGCTATATGAAGTGGGTCAGCCTTGTGATGTGGTGGTTAAAGCAACTGGATCCTACATAAGAACCTGTGTAGGTCAAGTTTCACTGTCTTGCAAAACATGGCTCGCTTGTGTGCACATGTGCTCAAAATCCTGAGAACAGAATAGAAGAGGAGAGATTTTGATGTGTGGGTGATTTCTCACTTTCCCTCTCTCCCAGTCTCTCTGAAGCAAATTCATGAACCCCCTTTTAATAAAAAAGAGTGTTACATGAATTGTCTCACTTAATTTTTAAATGACTCTAGTACTATTAGGAAGTCATTCTATATTTGCATAAATGAGATTCAGAAGGGTTAACTGACCTGAAGAAAGTTATAAACTGAGTAAGGGATGAAATTTGATGGGATCCCCCCAATTGATTTAAATGGAAAAATTTCAAAAATGAAAAGTTAACTGAAGATAATGATGTCTATGATAATATCTTTGACTCACCGACCAACTAATGTTCACTGTATTCATGCAGGGAAAAAACATTTTGTATTCTATAAAGATATACAGTGATTAAAATGTAATTAAATATATATATATATATGAGAGGACAATTTTAGATACCAGGGTCTATAGAAGAAGGTGGTGATTAGTAGGAATTGGGTGGGAAAAAATAATTATCAGACACAAGAATCAAATTTGTTTACTGAGGATGATGTATATGATAGTATCTTAAACTTGACTGACTTGCATTGCATGCATGCTTTGAAAAACCATATTGTACATTACAGAGAGGTACAATTATTATTATTATTTATGATGACTAACGTTTATTAACCTTTATTGCGTGTTTCCTATGTGCTGATAATTTACTAAATATAGTTGTTAATTATTTTGTAGCAAATAGTCAGTGATTATTTGATAAATTAATTAAATAATTACAAAAAAGAAAGTCACATGGGTAAGGAGGAAGAGGGGGACTTTAACTGCGGAGTCAACCATGTGGGATCCACTGCTTT